CGGGGACAGCCGCAGCTCCCCCCGTCACCCTTCGCACCGCTGTCCCCATGGCCCGGGCCGGCCAGCCCCCCTTTTGTCCCTGAAATATTTACAAGTGATTAATAACAGTTTCTCATCGCCGTCTAGGAACAAACAAAAATCGTGCCAACATAATCAAAGCGAATATTGAATGAGTGATGGAAATTCAATAGTTTTAACTTCTGCTTTCATGATTTTCTTTCAGGGGTCCGTGCACAAGAAAACTCCAGGGCCCACGATTATCATGCTAAAAGCCGGGCTGTGCCTGCCAATAATTAGATTTCTATATGCATTGCTCTCTCCATATTTTCAATGAACGACACGGGGAGATGCTCTTTTGCGGGTCTGGGAGAGCGAGGCTCTTTTGGCAGCTCTTAAGCGTGGAATCGGGATTTCGCGGCCGGGAGGGGACAATGGCCCTCGGCACGGCTGGGTGGCACATCCCGGGACCCTCCGGCCATCTGTTACCTTGCGGTTAGCAGCGTGTTCTCACATTGCCCACAGATGCACAGTCTGCCCGCAGCCCTTCTGCAAGGAGGGATTTTCCTTAAGAGCAAAATAAACTTGTTAGAGGAGAGACCCTGAAACCAGAGCTTTAGTCAAGCGTCTGATACCGGACTCCTTGAATCCTATTTCAACCCACTTTACTGTTCATTCACAAAAACTTTGTATTTTTATTGTTATTATAAAAAAAAGAAACAGAACTTATGCTTTGTCTTGCACTTTGCTAATGTCCCCACTCATACCTGTGCTGTACTCCTTGCACAACCTTTGCCTAAAGTCTGGCTCAAGCTGATGCTCTGCACGGCTCACTCCAGCAATTCTAAAAACATTTAAAGATGCATTAAACCTTGATGGTTATCATTAGTGCCAGTGATCCTGAAAGCTCTGTGAAACTATTGTCTTACCCATCTAAGAAAAAAACCTGCTGAATATCTATGCTCTGACCCCATCCAGAATAGAAAACAACACACAAATAGTCTTTAAAAGGTTTGATTGCGGCATAATACAGGAGCTGAGAGGCCAGAGCCTTTCTTTCTTTTGTGCATATGAGACCAGGGAGCAGAGGAGAGGACTTGGGGAGGGAAGTGACACTATGATAAAGTGGCCCCACAGGAGGATGTATTCACTTCCAAAGGCCCAAAGGAACCCATCTGCTGCCATCAGGAGCAAGCATTGAGCCACTTGATCCCTGAACGTCTCCCAGCAGCAGCGTTTCCCCTCGCTGGGGAAAGCCCCGTGTGAGTTTTGCTGACTTGCTCTCAGCAGCATCTCCCTCCCCATCTCCAGTTTCTACCGACACCAAAAGATCTCCGGTTAAAACTCTTTCCTGAAACTGCTCATCGCAGGTAAGGCATTCGCAGGGCTCCTTCCCCTCTTGGAGAAAACAATGAGCAGCATCAGAAGCTGTTTTAAGATCCCGAATAAGTGGCAACAGAGGTGAGAAGGAACAATATGGACACTTCACATCACTGTTGAAGCCTGGGAATTCAAACCATTTTAAGCTCACCGAGAGAAAAGCCACACAAACTCAGCTCCTCCCTGGGGTGGAGAATGAACCAGGAGTGGGCAAGCAGCAGCTGACAGATCTTTGCAGGTTACCAGTGTTACTTTTGCCTCCAAATGACATTACCATGCTGCCTACAATTTTTCCCATGTATTGAGGTTTGAGATGCTCAAATTTTGCAGCAGGAATCTCAGGCAGAACCACAGAGTTCAACAAAATACAAAATTTTGTTCTCAAAATGCCTAAGCTCATCTGGCTCAGCCCTCCCAGAGCCAGGCAGTCATCCTCATCCTGGGGCTGCTGCAGAGTTGAAGACTCACATTTGTTTTTATGCACAGTGAGGAAAAGGGAAAACTGAGTTTCGATACTTTAATTCACACCCTTAAATCTACAGAGAAGTACAGTACAAATAACAAGACAAACAGATGCATTAGGGAATTCAGTAACAGAGCCAGTGCTGTGAAAAATCTGTATTTACAGATTTGTATGAAGAATATGGGGCAGATGTTTCTCAGTGGAGCCTTCTGGGAATGTAAATCACAGAGAGAGGCCATGGTACAACCAACTCAAGTTTCCAGTTTCCCTGTGTTAATGTGAAATAACCACAGACTGGGGAAGTTCTGTGGCTCCACTGAAGCTGCAGCTTGGGCAGAACCTGACCCAAATCACACATCGTGTCCATGTAATGACTGCACCAACCATCACAAATTTTTATGAGACAAAAGCACACTCACTGTACCTCTGCATCAAATAAAACCAGATGTCTCAGCTTTTATAACACAGACTTTTACAGGACTACCTCCTTACCTTCCCATTTCAGCCTTTCTCTTCAAAACCAAAGGAAAACCACTTTGGGGTTTGAATACATGGTTTGATGCCAAGGAAAAAAAATGCCTATTTTGATTTAAACATTTATTTTGGAGGTTCAAGATCATGCTAACTGGTTCTTTCATGGCAAGTGAGATCTCAAATACTGTACAGCTGTGAGCCCTGGGGTTTGCTCTGGGGTTTTGCTCTCTGAGGGACAAGAATGGTGCAGACAGTGTCTCGTTATGTTTGGGCACTAAATACAGATCTCAAACTACACCATAAGGAAACAACTGATCTGCCAAGAGCTCACTGATCACTCCTTTCTTACTGCTTGGTGGGAAATAAAAAATGGTGATTCCCAAATGTCAATTTTCTCAATTGAAAATTGCCTAAAATGTTATATATTATATTTTTGGACCTATTTCTTGCACTTATAGCTCATATTTTCCTTGTGTAGTGCCACTTTAGAACATATAGACAAACACATTCAATATAAGCCCCAAATGGCAGCATTACAGCATATGAAGCTAAAGAATATTTTTTTTTTTTAAGAAACTGTTAACATGCTGACATTTTCTTGTAAGCAGATATTACTGATTTAAAGTTACAGCTTTTAAAAGCAACATTTTTTACAGTATTCTGATCACTATTTAATAAGCAACTATTATACATACTGAAGTTACAAGCTACAAAAATAAAAATCCATTCTGTTTAACTACAAAAATCCTAGAAAGAGAAGATGGCTGGAGGTACTCAAAGGATTACAGCAGTTTGTAGCAGACAAAATGACTCTTGAGGGATGTAAACCTTGAAGGTACAGAATGCAAAAACCTCACAATTTACGTTCCTACATAATCTTAAAAAGAAACCTACTTTTATGCTGAAATCTACAAACAACTTGCAATTTAAACAATGCAAAAAAATTAATTACATACAGCAATAGGGGGACACAGCACAGGACACAGGGCATTATTAGAAAGTACAAGTTTGAGTACATTCATACTTTTGAACAGTTAAGGGCCAGATCCTCAGCTAAGGTCAGTCTGCACAACATGAACAGGTTATTCAAGGCATGTGGCTTTATTCCAGCTCAAAGTATCTCCCTGAGATGCCCAAAGCCTGAGCTGGGTATTCAGCACTCTTAGATAACAAAATCATGGTCATGTCGTGCTTTAGAATGTGGCCTCAACATTGCTGAGATAAATAATGTGTAAATTCTCTACATTTACTTAATTTCTCCAGGAAGTGGTCTCTGCTGCCTTATCCCTGTGTTCAAGAAGCACTTCTCATTTCTCAGAAGAAAACAGCATTTTTAATTAAATGGTTGTCATAATTAAGTGGTTATCATTCAATACAATCATTTACATCCTAGTATTTTTGAACCTGAAGACAGCCTAATTTAATTCCCACTGAAGACTTCATTTTTTATTTTCCAAAAGGAAGAAAAGTGCTAGCAGTCAGTAGGAAATACAGACCTAAAAAGAATTTTCAGCTAGAACACATGCAGATTTTTAAGTGTCCTGCTCTTCCCCACAGACTAACTGGGTTACAGTGCCACTCTACCAAAAGCATTTGTTGCCAAGTAAAAACCAGTAAAAACTACTTTAACACTGCTGCCATTGTGCTGATCACAGCTGAAGGTGCAGTGATTTTCTATTTAAAGTGAGATACAGTAACACACACTGTAAAAGCTTCAGTACAATGTAGCACAGAACCAGAAGGAATTGGGCAGACTGAAACCAAACCCTTCAAGGATGAGTTCTCAGAACCTGTGGAGAAAAGGGAAGCTCCTCCCCAGCAGCAATGAGAACAAAGATTGTATTTTCAGTACAGGCCAGGGAGCCTTTGGAGTCCTGGTGGTGCTGGTGACTGGAAAAGCCAACCAGGTGAGTCTCTGGGCCAGGAACAGCTATGTGAAACCATTCCAATTTTCTTGTCTGCCTCTGACAGGAGGTTCTGTGCACATAAGAATACCCAGCACATCCTCTCAATGTGAGTCAACAAGTGCAGCGTGAGCCAGGCACAGAGCTGACCCACAGAAAGGCTCTCGATGCAGATTTAGGCTTTCTGTGTTGCCTATCACAGGATGAGAACCTACAGTAAAGAAAGTTATCAGAATCTGACCAAACTTCAGTTAAGCTACTGGGTGCAGCAATACAACTTAAAAATAAACTTTATGAACTCACTTCTAAGTGCTTGACAATCCATGTTATTGTTTACCCTGTACATTTTACACAAAGCTTTAATATATGAAGACTGACAGAAGAAACAATTTGTAATTTGACTTTTTGAAATATTGTTTTCTCTATTTTTCTAATGTTTATTATTAACAGGATAAGGGGAAACCCTTCAGTGCAGGACAGGAGCTCCAGCTGCAGAGTCCCCTCTCCCAGATAGAGACTATACTTGTGGGGATTTCTAGGGTTCCAACCTACAAGGAGTGGCTCCTTGGATGGAGCAGCTGTTTGAAGTGGTGCTCTAAGCACCTACAACATTTTAAAATGGAGCAGTTTACATTTCCAATGCACACCACAGCACTGGGCAGCTACAGCTCTGTTACAAACTGGCCAAGTCCATTCCTGCTGCCAGACAACCTGACAACAAACTTGTGATAAAACTGGAAACAAGGTCATTCAAAACAGGCTTTAAACCAATTTGCAACACACCAGAAAGGAGGATACATTGATATCAAAGAACAGCTGGAAACAGCAAGGCTTCCCACAGATGTCAGGGCTAACTATGTTTTACAAGACCTTTTTTTTGCCACGTGTATGACAGCTACAGTCACAATGGACACTTGAACCTTACAGAATGTTCTCTAAACCATAAGTACAATTTCACAAGAGGTTTCCCATAGCCATCATTGCCACTTTGCTGCCATCACTTACAGTCCATGGCTGAGACACAAACTTCTTCACCTCCAAAATCAAGACCATTTATCAGGGGTTTTCCCAAATGAGCATCCAGTTAGATGCTACTTTCACTTTGTTTCTCCAGCAGGAGTGATGGACTTACCTTCCCCAGAGGATTTCACACATGTTGGACTGGGCTCCTGGCAGCTGCAGTGACAGGGAGCACAAACAGCCCCCACTGGGGCACAAGTGGAGAAACCCATCCACCCCTCACCTGTGGTAACAACAGGGAGACTTCCAACCTTGGCATCAATTATTTCTTTTCTAGATGTCAGGAGTCAAAAGAGTGAAGATTTTTAACCATGAAAGGTTCTTGGGCTATAAAACCAATTTGAATAATCATCTGATCAACTTCAGGGAAGACTAAATCTGCATTATGAACAGTTTAAAGTAGCCACTGGTGTCATTTCAAATACTGCTTTTCAGAGCACATACCCTGCTTTTCCAGAGATTCCTCATTTGTTTGTAAACAACAGTTACATAAGAACTACAGCTTAGAACTTAAATACTTTTAAGATGCTGATGGTCGCAAGTTATTAAAAAAAAATAATAACTTAACTGGTAAGATTTTTGAAGCTAATACAAATTGAAACTCATAACTAAAAAAAAGGTAATGGATTAATCTAGCATAGTATACTCAGGGTGTTTTAAACACTTTTTACATATATTTTACTATTACTTTTCATCTATATTTACATACAATAAAATAATTAAAGTGAGGTGTATAAGGCTAATGAATATGGAATTTACAAATGGCTTCCATTTTACAGTTCATTACACTCTAATCACATTTTCAGACTGCTATAAATTCACTCAGAATCAGTAGTATTGAAGATCTAGTACATACACTTTCTACAAGGAATACCATCAAGTTAAAAACGCTTTCCAAAGAGGATTACAGTTCAAGGTTTTAAAAATACTGACTCTGCCAAGTTTCAATAAATTATTTTAAAATATAAATAGATTGTTCACTGTTAATGCGAACACCATTTTACAGGTTTCTGAAAAACAGTTTCATTTAAAAAAACCTAGAAACACAGCCTACTTTACTCAATGGTATCATTTTTCAGTCAGTGTAAAGAAAAAAAAAAAATTAAAAATTGGGGGATCATGACAAAAGCAGCAACATTCAAAGTTCAGACCAAAGCTCTCACTTTCTTATGATTTTGGCTTACACAGGATAAATTCTCTTCTTACTTGGAAGAGCACCTTCAGTAACTAAACTGAGACATTTTAAACCTCAACTCAGTTCTCACCTCCGCAGGCTTAAAATTCTTACAACAATAACCCCAGGAATAAGATCTTTTACTTTTGTTAACCATGAAGATGTTTTCACCTGAGAAGCTTTTAACCTGAGAAGCTTCAGATATGGCAAGCTGACATTCCCTGTGTACTGTTGTAGGTGTTCTGAATCTCCACTGTCAGGATCAACCACTAATCTTTTTCCCCACTTTATATTCATAAGGGAAATAAGGGTAACCAACAAGGTATCTCTGACCCCCTAAGAACCAACCAGAAAACAAGTGCTTCCACGCTTTTGTTCCAATTAGCTCTCAACCTCCACACATAAAATTGAAAGTTAATAGACTTACTACTGCTCATTCTCAAGTAATTATGAGCCATACTCTTTAACAAGTTTTTTAAAAAATACTCCACATTTGCCAGTCATCCTTATTTCTTTAAAACCCTTTCGTCTAAACAGCTAAAAAAGATGCTCCTTTGTCCAAGTTTTCCTCCAAAAAAGCCTCCCCAGGAACTATGATGTTGCTATTTACAGGAACTAGAATTAGTCTCTCACTGAACTGAAGCAAAGTCAAGTCACAGGATCATTCAGTGCAAGTCATGGTACAAATATTTTGAGTTGTATGTTGGGGACCTCAGGGTACTTTTTGGCTTACAAAGCCACTGAAAAAGGTAATTTCTTAAATAACATTTCCAGAAACCTTTGGTCCAAAAGCAATTTTCTTGCTGAGTGCCTTCCCCAGAGCTCCCAGATCCTCTACTCTCTCAGTGAAGCTTATTAGAAATGCACTGCACAAGCAGGTGCAGAATTACTGCTCTTGCTCCCAAGCAGAGATGGCAGCTGGGACCAGGCTGCTGTCAGAACATCAACCCATATTCTGCCTGGTTGGTTTTCTGCTCTGGAACTGTTCTGGGGCAGCTGGAAGCAGGTCAAACCCCCCAGCTGCTCCCCTTTCCAGGGGTATGAAACATCTCTCTGAAACACTGTAGTATGTATGTGCTGAAGACCTGATTCCACAGCGAGGAAGGGTTGCAGCATCTGTCCCCTTTTCAGCCATTGGAGGAACACACTCCAGCTGGAAAGGCTGGAGGGCATCCCCACCAACCTAAAAGCAAACCAGTTGTGGTAATTCAGCTGTGAAAGTTTCCATGAGTGCAAAAGCATGGCTTTTTCCTCAGCTCTAGTTCATTTACAAGTATGAACCTTAGTGCATAAACCTCAACCTAGATCAAACACGGGTGTCCTAATGAGCTGAAGCTCCTCGCTGCCGCAAGTGAAATTCCACAAAATCTCCAGGTCTTTATCCACCTGCTCCCTCCTGTGGTGTTACTCTGACAGGCTGGAGGCATCATCATCATCTGTCTGCTCCCCTGAGTGGTACAGCATCAGAGCGTGGGTCTTGTGAGTGATGGTGACAGTGCAGGGCCCCTGCGCCCAGGGCTCCCCATCCACCTGCATCGGCATCTTGGAGCTCTTCAGGATCAGCTGGTACCAAACACAACAACACAATCACAGCAGTTCCAAGGGGCTCTGAAATCACCTCCTACAACTGCAATACACATTCACAGCCTGGCCAGGGAGGAACTGTGAGCGGCACTCATAGGCCAGCAACCACAGCAACGGAGGTCTGTGTGTTATGACGTAATTAATTTTTACTAAGCAAGAGAAATATCCATCTCAAATGCAAACTACAACTTCAGATCTGATTCAAGCAGTTGAGTGCTTGAGATTCTATATTTTTTGTAATCTTATTCTTTTAAAAATTTTATTGTATTTTTATTGTAATTTTTTGTGTATTAAAAAAAAATTTAGGAGAACAGGTCCCTAAGCAGCACTTACCCTCACTGTGTGTGCCTGCCCCAGGCGAACAGGATTTGCCAGTTTCACCTGGATCTGGGCACAGTGGAAAGAACCATGAACACCAACAACTTCCAGAAGTCCATCATCATGTCTATGAAATAAAAAATGAGACCCTTTTCAGTGATGCTGATGAGCTCCAGCACATCTGCCCAAATACTACAGTCCTTTTATTGCTATTCCCAGAGAGAAGACAAATGTTGTGCTACCAATAAGTTTATGTATTCAAATCACACTGAACAGCAAAGAAAGCCATCAAACCCCACAGCTATGAAGCAATTCACCAGCCAGCACACTCTAGCTGGCCTCTGGAAGTCATGGATGTATGACTTTCCAAGGCTCATTCTGCACATTTAAGGCCCACAGGGGATTTATTTTCCATAAACTTGTACAATTTTCTGTCTTTTTACTCAGATATTCATTCAAAGGAATGTCTTTTAATAGCCTAATTTTTTAGGTTTGGGTAAAGGACCTTGCCCAAATATTTTTCAGAAATTCAGGATTGTAAGCCTTGTAACAGAACTATGGGTATATTTATACAGATGGTTTCTGAAGAAGGAAGTCACAACAGGGTTATTATAATAATGACAATAATAATTAATAATAATTTTAAATTATTTTTCTCTTTGGTATTGCTCCCAACATGGGAGTCAAAATTTTGGATATGTTTTGCTTTTACTTTCCATTTTAACCTCTAATGAAATGTGATATTTTAGATTATGAAATAGATCTATTTTCTACTTTTTGAAGGCTCACTTTATTGTTAATAGCCTCTCCAATACCACTGCTGTCTGTCATGCCAGACATTTTAAGAAAGTCTTAAAACACCCTTGATGTGTAGGATGCCTTTACTCCAAGTCTCTAGTTCAAGGAAAATAAACAAATGTAAGATAGCCTGTCTTCTGACCTGCAGATAAGCCTGGCTACATAAGCACAGTCTGAGGGAATTTCTTACACTGCAAGAACTGTTAAAGGGAAAAACAAAGCAAAAATTGCCCTCTGTACCTTGCCAAAGGATAAGGTTCATCCCCCATTCCTTCCCAGAGCCTGCAGCCACCTCCCCAGTATCCAATATTCAGCACAATGATGCCTTCCAAATTGGGCAACTCAATCCTCTCACCGTCCAACTCTAGCTTTAAAAGACAAGCAGAAGTTAATTACTGTGCATCACATTCTGTACTTCAACAGAACATATTCACTTTATGCATTTAATAGGCTTCCACTTAAAGAAAAATTGGCCCTGTACCAAGAGAATTTGTTTTCTTTCCATATTTAAAAAAAACATCCTTATGATTTCACAAGATATTCTGAGCTGTAGTAAATTTCTATTAATAGAAAAAATGAAAAAAGGAACTCTGACTTATGTAAGACTATGGTGCTATGGCAAATTATAGCTGAATATCAGTGCTTGCACTCAAAGAACTGAGTCAAGGCCAGAAAAAAGTTAGGAATTTTCAGTAAACCCAAAGACATGAATTCCATGAAGTGAGCTGCAGACAGCAAAAGGAACACGAAAACACTCCAAGGCCATAGCCATCCTTACACTAATATCATTAAGTAAATATTGTAAAGAGCAAAGCTTCTTTTCTTTCACAATGTAGGTGCTTACATTCCACTGATTGTCCAGAGAATAAGCAAATTAAAAGACTTACCTCAACCTTTTTGTTAAGATCTTTACATTCTTGTACTAAGCAGTCTTTGGTTCCATAAAAAAAATAAACAGCCTACAAAATAAGAAAACCCCAAACAAAACAGGGAGAAAAGAAAACATTGTTAGAAAAAGACAACACACAGGAAGATTATTTGAATTATTTATGTATAGTTATGGCTGTGCAAACCTTATCTAAAATATCTACATAATATATTTGCACATTCTTAAACTAAACCTTCCTCATGAGATGAGCTACAACTTGTGTAAGAAACTAGATTTCCACTTGAAAAGGAAATAAGCACTTGACTCATGAAGTTTCAAAGCAAATGAGAAATTCTGAGTAAAAACTGAGCAAACTGCAAATTCTATAAGCAAACAGAGGCAAGGCAGAAAACTTGTGAGTGGGCTGCAAGCATATTTTACCCATGGAATCCCCTCCCTAAGAAAAATGAATTCAAACTCTTAAAATGGCAGCAAGGAAGTAGTGGTAAAGAAATGTGAACCTAAAAATAGCCTGAAGTCAAATCAACAACTCCAAGGAGGAAATGTCAGTTTACCAAACACACCTTATTGATGATTCTGCTGGAAAACAGAGAGGGAGTCTTCTCACGATGGGCATGGAAATTTAAAGCCATAAGAGCATCAGGTCCTACAGAGAAGTAGTTGTTCATTGTGAATACCTGTAAGACAGAACTTTCAATTATGCCTTATTAAATATCATTATTAGGGTTTAAAATTCAGAGTGTTTAACAGGAAGTTGATAACAACAACAAAAAATTTATAAACATACATGTATTCCATAGAATTCATATTTATACTTGCAAACCATACCTTTGGTTTCCTTAAGCTGTATCCTTTGTTTGTTACTTGAACCTTCCATCTGAAAAACAAGAGCTGGTACTTAGACTTGTGTCAGACAGCCCTCAGTATCAAAGCTGCAGCTAGGAATCTCATATCTATACCGAGATTAAGGCAAAATATTCAAATTTAGTTAAATTATGGAGATGTTAAAGACTGTAGAACAATTAAAAGACTAAATTCAGGGCTCAGTTACGTTGTAGTTTGAATTTAAGTAAAGAAATGGCTGCAGTGGGCCATCAGCAGAGCTACAGCAGTGCTTGGTTCTGTACATTTTATCTTTTCACTGTTCCTTACCTGTCTAGTTTGATTCCATCTGCCTCCATGACATTTCGTAAGATCTGCTCTACAGAGACTTCTCCAGCATAACCTGCACCCCAGCCCAGTGTATTCGACAGGTCATTCCCTGTTCCCAGAGGTAAAACTGCAACTTGTGGAATATATTGTTCTTGCCCCTAGGATACAAAAACACTGCATATTAGCTCCTGCTTCAGCTCTCATTGTCTCCCTTCCATCCCCAAATGTTCAGATTAGATAAATTCACCTTCCCAGGAGCCTGTTACACAGAGCAGAGCTCTGGGGCTGGCAGAGCAGGTGGCACACTGAACTACTTACCCAGGCATAATGTAAAGGAGGGAAATGTTAAACTATTGTGAGAAAGAAAGAGAATACAAACACAACATGGGAACAGAGCATTAGGAGTACTGAAGAGAGTATTCCTTCCCAGGAATGATGCTTTGGATCTGGGAACAACAAGACACCAAAATGCTCCTGTAAGACTGAGGTGGTTAGGTCTAAACAACAGATGCAGAATACCAGTGTTCAACCCCATACAGAAATACAGATACTCAAAGGAGCAAAGTCAAGTGTCTCAGTTTCAGACTGTCACCTACAGATGGAGCAGGTGATGATCAGCTCTGCCAAGCACAGAGTGACAGCAGCTGTTCAGACAGCCACCTTAGCAAAGGGCTTGGCTCTCCTCACCACAGAAGGGTGAACAATTATTTCAGCTGTACTATGGCCTTTGCAATTCAGCCGTGAGAAGCACTTGCAGTAAATTGGCACTTTGGTTACTGTTTTTTCTAGAAAGGTTATCAGCCAAGTAACGTGTATTTGAGAGTCAAGATAAATGAAGGGAGCAAATAACCTACTGCTGATAAGAAAAAGGTTTTGCTGATAAATCTCTATGGTATTTTATCTAATACCAATAACTCAATTTGAACAGAACAAAGAAAAACCCAGGTTTCATCAACGATATCAGCTCTGAGGGACAATATATCAAGTCTCCAGGACCACACAACCATATACTCACATTCATTAACCTTTATAGTTACTTTATTTCTATTTCATCAGCACACAATAATTCTCAAAGAGGTTGTTGGACTGTGCATGAAGTTGTAATAATGGCCTTTAGCTACAACCTTTTATGTATTAACAAGAAACCTGTCGTAAAAATCCCCAAAAACTTTGATATAAAAACTTTCTGCCTTTCAGCACTAGAGAAAAAGTTTATTAGGTAAAGCACTAGAGCCTTGTAATTATTTTCCATTCTTAATTGTCTCAGGAGTTCTTAGGAGCATCCCATAAATGAGAATATTTTCCATTTCAAATAAACAGTAAACACAGCTTATTTTGTCCTCCTCTACTTGCTGCTAACAGGCAAAGCTGCAGACAGACAGACTTCAGAAGATATGACAAGGAGAAGCATTCATGCACTGGCAACATAACCAGTAGAGCTGGAAAAATGATGAGGTTCTTTTAGAAGATGGAGTGTGCTGGGAGAAGGGAGCAGTTAGAGCACACTAACCAATATTAGCAATGCCATTTATGACAATATAAATCTGTTCAAAGAGGAAATAACAATGCAGAAAATATCCTGCAGCTTGTTCTCTTATTTTGCAGAAAAGAACTACTATCAATATAATTTAAAATCTGAAGTGCTCATATTTTTCCTGAACTACAAGGAATCATGAAATGTATTTCCCAAACCCCTCCCCAATATGAATAAGCAATTATGCAAATATTCCTCTGTAAGCCTATTCGGAAAGATGAAGGCAATAAATGCAGGTAAGAGATGAAGAGTAGAACTTTAGCAGCTTCAAAACTAATTTCACTTTTAAATTTAAAACACCATACCTTTATCTTCATTTCATCAATTGCATCCAGGACCCAGCCCACTGTGCCATCCCCACCACAGACCAGAACCCTGACAGCATTGCAGGGCAGCCAAGTGCAGAGCTGCAGAGCTTTAGCAGGTGCAATTTTGCTGAGATCAAAAACCTAGAAAAATGGAAAATGAAGAATTCTGTAAGTTCACAGAACATGACTCAGGATTTGCCTCACAGATAAACAAATTCAAGAAGTTAACTCAAATGCAAAACAAAGATTCTCCATTTGCAGTATTACATTAGCAAATGAGATGTCCTGGCTTTCATAAGCAGGATTTGTTTCCCAAATTCACAATAGAGCTCCAGCTGCCTCCCTAGGATTAAATGGCACTGATAGACTGAGCTGATAGAGCCCTTGGAAAAGTCTGATCTAGAAGCATGAAGATGAATTCTGTAAAGATGAAAGACTTCAGATAAAAGTAATTTTAAAATACTCAGCAAACAAAGAGGTTTATTCTTGAAAGCCTTACTGGGATGCATTTAAAACAAACACACAGTGATTTCTCTTAGGCTGTATTTTACAGCTGGGTTTTGAATTTCAAAGGAAGAGTATTAAGGTGCAGGCAGGAAATCCAAGGAACAACTGCCTGCCTTACGTCAACATCCTGAGCCATCCCAGCGGATTTTAAGGGGAAAGCAACTACACAAAGCAAAACTGTCCAGGCTGACATTTCCACAAATAAAGTGAGAATTTAAACAAACACAGGCTTCCTAAAAAGAAAATTTAAAAAAAGTCTGATACTTCTCATTAACTAAATTAGTGCATGTATTACTGTAAGCAAAAAAAACTGGATTGGTGTTAGAATCCTAACAAACCTGGGGCTGGAGGAAGTCTCTGCACTTTTTATTGCTCTCTGTGAAACTGCTGCTTTCTAAAAGAACAAACTGCATGAATTTGTTTCCTTTACTGATCTTCCACAAGATCCTATTGACATTGCATAAGCAAAATGCTATCTATCCTAATCTAAACCTTGGCTTTATTATGGTGGCTTTGCACTGTAAATACCTGAACGGGGTTCAGCAGCATTTTAAATTCTCCTAGTAAAATTTCACCCATGTTGTTTCCACTGCGAGTATTAGCCAGCACCATCACTGGCATCCTGCAGTAAGGGACCACCTGCAAAAGGCAGAAACAGTCAGTCTCACAAAAACTTCATGTCTGAAATAGCCAAAACACAAGCAAATACTTCTGAACACCAAGGCTGAAGATTCTGCAGTTCCCAGGACGACAAATACTACAATGTTATGAACACAGCAGTAAAATACTCGCAAAACATTCAAAGAAGTAAGGTAGACAAATTTCAGTATTTTGGAATAAAAAAATCCACATCTGCTTATGCTTCAACAACCATGTTAGTAAAATGACAAACACCTCTGAATTAACACAGCAAGTACTTAATATATCTTGAAACATTTACCTGACAGTTGCTAATATGACAATGCATTGAGTTCAAAATTTCAAGGTCTCTCTGTGGGTTTATTTGGTTGGGTTTTTTGGTATATTCCAAACCAAAGAAACAGTAGGTGATTACCTTTTCATAACTGGTTCTTTTCTCTTTACGCATCTGGTTAATTGCAGACAAATAGTAGGGTGGAATAATTAAGTCTTTGAATTCTCCAAATGTACAATCCTCAGTCCTCAAAGAATCCACCATGCATTCATCATGCACAATGTACTGACACCACACACATCTAGAAAAAAAGACCAAAAACCATGAAAAGAATTGTCAAATGGGCACATGCATTTTGCTCATTTATTTTAGACTTTTGTCAAAATATTTATGTTTACATGCACCATTATAAGTAGTATTTTAAAGACATTACAGGGAGAACCATGCATTCCCTGGAACCCTATGTATTGGCTATAGAAAATTACATAAATTGATCATGTGCTTGCTTAGGAAAGTATTTGAATTCTGCTAGGAAAAAAAATCAACAGTTTTAAATTAATTCAGTTATTTTTAATTAAAAAAAAAATAGGTGCTTTAAATATGCTCATGTTTGCAATCTTAACAGTTACACTGAAAGGCTGTAAAAGAACCTGAACTCTTGTCCATCCTTAAAGAGCACAGATAAAAAACAGTGGGCCTCAATTGAATAAATGTTACTAGTCATGAATTAATGCATTCCTTAAGATTGATAATATCCCTTTAAGCCTGAAACCTAAAAGGTTACACTGAGCTGTACAAGGCTGATGTGATTTAGTTATGCAAAACTGCTCTGCTTTATGACCTATTCTAAAAGCTGTCCTGGAAAACAGACTAGAACAAGAGGAAATACTGCAATATCCACTTCCAGCCTCTGCAGAATGTTAATCCCCGTTTGCTACATCCAAAGCTTTGATTTAAGCAGCTGGGAAAGCTATTTTTGGAGTCCTCCTGACTAATCCAACACTCAGCTAGAGTAGCAATGACACTTGCCCTATACTGTGACTCTCTTTTCCTCTTCTTCCTTTCCCCTTTGCCTCTAAATTCCTGCCCTTCCCTCCTCTCCTACACACACTCTCAAGGTTTTGTTTCTAATAATGTACTCTTTTACTCTGTAGTACTTACCAAGTATTTTGTCAGTACCACACAGAAGCAAAGCAAAAGCTGTCAGAATCTAGGCTAAGAAGATGATACCTTTTGAGTAGGCTGAAGTAACAGTAACACACCAGGGAACCTATCACTGCATTTGTGCATTTTGGCACAACTTTGCAAGCAACCTTACTAATGACAGTGTAAGTCCATTTAATGATTCATTGTATTTTTAAAACACTCTTACTAAAACCCTTAACAATAAGCAGTAGCTTATAAAACTTCTCTTTAGCTTTTTTGAGAACCCTTAAGAATACACTTGAAACCTCTACAAGACATTGTTCTCCTTATACTGAGCAGGGGCCAATTTTGAGATGCACACGTTGGTTCTCTGAACTGTGAGCTGTGCCAGTCAAATTGTTCAGCTGACAAATTTATTAGAAACTTCTTAATGTCATCCCCTAAAATCCAAACTCCCTTGGACACTGAGAGTCCCTTGTATGTAATTATACAGCAACCTGCACATCATGCTGGAGTAATGCCATTAAGAGAAAGAGAAGACATGAGATGCAATGCCACACTCTCAATCTATGACTCACAAGCATCTATTTTAATTTTAGGTTCTTTGAAGTTGTTTTTTTTTTTTTTTAGCAGCATCTTATCTGACAACTGCAGGATCTCCTTTGGGGTGTGGTCTCCCAAGAACCCTGGAAAACACGCCACTGACATGGCACTGGACGCGCTCCTACAGCCAGACTGCCCTGCAGTACCTGTAGTCGCAGAGCTTGGGCTGCGTGCCGCACTGCTGCTTGCAGACGCTGCAGCAGCTGCAGAGAGGGACATTGCCCCTGATCCAGTGGTGCGGCATGGAGCTGGGGGCTCCCGCGGTGCTCCTCATCATGATCTCCTTGCAGAGGAAGAGCTGGTCCGCTTTCTTGAGGCAGCTCTCGCAGACGCGCAGCCCGCAGCAGTCGCAGAAGGCGCCGCGCAGGATGTGCTGGGCGCACACGCAGCAGTACGAGGGCTGCCCGAAGAGGTCCGTGTAGCGCCAGTCGTGCTCGCTCTTGCGGAAGATGTCCCGGATCAGCAGCTGCCGCCGGGACCGCTGGAAGCTGCACCACGCCGTGATGAGCACGGGCAGGAGCACGGAGAACAGGGTCCACACGGCCAGGCGCCAGTCGGCCACGGTCCAGGAGGCATCGCCCGAGCCCTCCATCCCTGCGCCTCCCCGGCCTAACCCCTCGCACCTCTCGGGCAGGCGGCGGGGCGAGCCCCGGAGCGGCCCCTTCGCTCAGGGAGCCAACGCGCAGCTTCGCGTACCATCCTCTAATCCCTCCTCGGG